GGGGGGGGACATATGGGTGTGACTTGCTTCTTAATAATCTATGCATGTTGAGCTTCAGTCAGATAATTTTCATTCCTCCCTGCTCCGTTCTCATTGTCCCATTCTAACTTTCAGTCGCTTATTTTATTTTTTTCAGCTTAAGAGTCACTGCCTATCCAGATCTCTGGTACAATTCTGTAGGATACAGTACTTTATACACGCACCCCTTTCAATCAAGAGGAACATCCTAATCACAGAGAGCCAGAGCAAGAAAACTCTTCTCTGAGGATAAGTCATTGTACATTTTCAAACTAAGTACCCAGGTTGTAAGAAGCGCAGAGCATCTCCCACTTTCTTAGAGAAAAAGAAACATGACTCGGTCATCAGAAGTTCAGTAGATACAGGAAGACAATACATTTATACCCACCTAATTCAATCTGTTTATCAGCCCAAAGTCAAGAAGCACCCCTCCTCCAAGGAAAAAACTAATAGGAGTCAATATTTAATCAAGAGATTGCATTGACCTACCAGCACCTGCACCAACAGAATCTAGACACAGTCAACAAAAGCTAGGTGTGCCTCAGTCAACCAAATTCACCCAATAAGATTCAGGAAGCAGAATATACCTTTCCTTGGATTTCTGCACTCCTTTTGATGCTACTATTCTCTTCATCTTGTGATCCCCCAGCAAGCATGACCCTGGCACTTCAAAATTTCTTATCATCCTGTCTGACACAATGTTTTTGACAGGAAGCTCTCAGAAATGACGCACTATGAATTACTTATCCAGCCCCATATGCCGCTTTAGAGAGCTTCATTACAGAAATACAGAGTGGTCAGAATCCTGTTGTTGGTTTATGTTTGAATAAAGGAAATTGCGTCTGTCTTGGAAGTAAATTGCCATTGATTAATGAGATGCCGGTTTTATTCCTGAGTGTGAGCCCAATCACATAACTGGGCATCTGCCCCGGAATGCAACCATCTACAGCAATTTGCCACCAAGACTTACATGATTTTGCTTACGCAAGCATAAAATGGTGACAGTATTGTGGCCAATATCTCATTCTCCATTTTTTTTTCAAAATAAGATCCTGGGACAGGTTCAGATTCATAAAGACCAACTTCAGGTTCATGGAGGTTTTCAGCAAAATGACCACTAGTAGCTCCTCCTCTTATTAGCGAACTCAAGTGGCTGTGGTGGCAGCACTTCCAGTAGCACCTGCAGCAGCTGGATGAAGCATTTGCTAAATGCCCCAGAGCAACGGTTACTAAGAGATGTTATGGAAAATTAAAAGAGTGGCTTGATTCAGTTGCCTAGCACTACTTGGAATGGCAGGTCAGTGACTGGAAGTGGAGATTCAATTGAGGCATCAGCAGTGAGCCCTGCCTTGTGTCAGCACTCTTGGCTCTCTCCAAGGATATGAGATGATGGTGCCAGCCCAGAGTTTCGTGGTTGAGAGGGGACCTGGACTGTGACTTCCTAACTTCCTAATGCCTCCATGACATCCCAAAAAGTGATCCCCACTCAAAAAGCTGGAAATGCTGGGATTAAAGACTAGAAGTTCTATATGCAAGTCATATGCTGCGTAACTGATCAACCAGAATATTTGATTAGGGCTGTGATGACCAAATATTCTGATTAAGGTATCACATCAAGTCCAAATACAAGACGGTTCTCCTTGAGTGAAATCTACAGGACACGTGAAATCTCCTGTCCCTTAGCCCAGTTTTGTCTGTAAGTTCACTGAGTCATAGTGCAGACAGGAATACCCAGTCCTCATTAAGGAGGATTCAGCAAAGGATGTGTGTACACTAGAGATGGGGGTATTCAATATCTCCACAGAGGTGGACATAACAAGGGTTCAGCCCCCACTCACCCATCCGCTGCTGCCGCGGCTCCACACTCCCTTCCAATCACTTCAGAGGTCGACTAGCCACAAGTCAGCCTAGCAGGGAGGCTCGTCTTCCCTCCTTCTGCCAGGAGTGGCTAGTCGACTGGAGCGACTGGAAGGGAGTGAGGAGCCAAGGCAAGACCAGACGGGTAGGTGGGCTGTCTGGTGCCAGGGGGCCAGACCATCATTATGTCCACCTGTGCGGACAAATACGATTACCCCTATCTCTACTGTACACACCTTGAGATCCCAACAACACAGAATCCTCAATAGTTCTAAAAAATATATATTGAGTTATTTATATTTTATATTTAAAATTCAAAATAAGTGCCAATAGAAAACCAGTGAAGAACATAGCAGACTTACAACACAGAGGTTCTGGTCCCAATCCTTCTCATCCATGACACCGATTAGCCTTTGAGCCATTTCTGAGCCTAACTTGCCCTAACAGAACAGCCTTCCCCAACTCAATACCCTCCAAATGTTGTTCTTACGTACTGTCAAGGTACCTCTGACTTAGAGCGACCCTATGAATGAGCAATCTCCAAAATGTCCTCTCTTCAACATCCCTGCTGAGCTCTTGTAAATTCAAACCTGTGGCTTCCTTTAGGGAGTCACTCCATCTCATGTTTGTGCTCCCCTTGTCAACTTTTCCAAACAATCCTGCTTTCTCACAATGTGTCCAAAATAAGACAGCCTCAGTTTCAACATTTTTTGCCCCCAGAGATAGTTCAGACTTGATGGGATCAAGGACCCATTTGTTCATCTTTCTGGCAGTCCAGGGCATCCTCTACAAGCCCTCCCCCAGCACCATATTTCAAACAAATCAATTTTTTTTCTTGTCAGCTTTCTTTACTGTCCATCTTTCACACAGGAGTAAGAATACAAGAGTGTATTGGCCTTGGTCTCCAGTGACACACAATCATATGTTTGATTATATGTTCTAGTTCTTTCGTTGTTGCTCTTCAAGTATCAGTCTTCCTCTGATTTCTTGGCTGCAGTTTCACTTTGGATTGATAA